TGGCGCTGGTGAGTTGGAGTCGGTTGGCTGAGTGTGGATGGTGACTGATATGATTATGCGGATGATGACTATCAAGAACACGATGATGTGATGGTGATGATGGTGATGATGACGACGATGATGCTGATGACAAAGAAGAAGAATACGGTGATGGGCGTGATGGTGATGATGATACTGATGATGATGAAGAAGAGGGAGATGCTGCTGCTGCTGCTGCTGCTCATGGTCGTGGTGGTGATGATTCTGTTACTGATGATGCTGTTGTTGATGATGATGATGATCGTGCTTTTGATAGTGGTAGTGACGATGCTTATGAGAATGATTAGAAGGAGGCGGATGATGATGATGATGATGATGATGATGATGATGATGATGATGATGATGATGATGATGATGATGATGGTGATGATGATGATGATCCAGACGAAGATGCCGCTACTGATGATGATGGTGATGATGCTGCCAATGACGATGATGGTTATCATCATGATACTGATAATGACGATGATTACGATGATGATAAGGAGGTGGAAGGGGATGAGGATAGGGAAGACGATGATGATGATGATGATGATGATGATGATGATGATGATGCGGATGATGATGGTATTGATGCTGATAATGATAATGGTCATGAAGACGATGCTGCTGCTGCTGATGATGATGATGATCATGATGGTGATGATGATGATGATGATGATGATGATGATGATGATGATGATGATGATGATGGTGATGGTGATGGTGATGGTGATGGTGGTGATGATGGTGGTGATTGTAGTGGCCTCCGGCCAATGCTGCCGATCCGGGGCGCTTCCGTTGCTGCCGGAAGCGCGCGATAGCGGTCATGACCGGCGACGACGGCGAGCGGTGAGGAATGGAGGCAACGGAGTAGGATGAGGAGGAGGAGGAGGAGGAGGAGGAGGAGGAGGAGGAGGAGGAGGAGAAGGAGGAGGAGGAGGAGGATCATGACGAGGTGGAAGGGATGGGGGGGGGAGGGGCAGGAGTAGCAAGATCCTGAGGATGAGGAGGAGCAGGAGGAAGCGGGACGTGGGAGAGGGGGACGGGGAAAAGGAGGAGCATGACGAGGATGGGGAGATTTTCGGCGGTTGTTGGAAATGTTCGGCGGTTGTTGGAAAGTTTCTTTTGGGGCCAGGTGTTGGCCCTCTTCGGGTTGACACTTCGCCGATTTGGTGCACTCTCTGAAAGGCTTTGTGCTAGAGCTGTCTGCGCGCGTCTTGGATGCATGTTTTGAAATTCTTGGGGGCCTGTAGGGGCTTCAGGGGGCCTCTTCGGGGCCAGCTGGAGGCGTCTTAGGTAGGGCCTCTTCAGGCCTCTTGGGGGCCTCTGGGGGCCTGCTGGTGGCTTCTTGGGCCGTCCTCGGCATTTCTTCCGCCGTCTTGGCGCCCTCTCAGGCGCCTATTGGGCCCGTCCTGGGGCCCTCTTGGGCCTTTCCGGGGGCTTCCTGGGCCATCATGGGCCCTTCTTGGGCCGTCTTGGAGCCTTCTTGGCGGCTTCTTGGGCCGTTTTGGGGATCTCTTGGGGCGTCTGCGACGCACTGAAATCCCAAGAGGCGAATACGCTAAACTTGTACGTTTTCCAAGAGGAATGGGGCAACTTTTGCTTGTTTGGGTCTTCTTTGAGAGGTCTTTTTCAGGGCGTGTGAGGGAATCTTGGAGGCTTCTGGGGCTGTCTTGGGGACATTTTGGGCGTCTCGTAGCGATCGTTTGGCGACTCTGGGTCCTCTTGTTCCATGTTGGCGTTCTCCTGGGCGAGGGGGCCGTCCCGGAGTGAGCTGGAGCTCCGATTCCGCTCCGGGAAATAAATTGACCTCCCCCCCCTTCCCCTTACCCCAGCAGAGCCACCCCGGCACCCACCCCCCAGTAGAGCTGAAGCTTAGGAATTGAGGTTCAGGCTGTTTTGAGGGTCGTTGTAACTCACACGTCAGATCGGCGGATTATGATGATGATGATGACCATGATACTGATGATGATACTGGCGATGATGATGATGGTACCGAGGCAGTGGATGCTGCTGCTGATGATGCTGCTGATGATTCTGATGATAGCGATGATGTTGATGACGAGGAGGCGGAGGAAAACGATGATGATGCTGATGGTGATGATGGGCAGGATGTTGATGCCGATGAGGAGGCGGATGATGATGATGAGGGGGATGCCAGTGATGGTGATGATGATGCTGATGGTGCTGATATGATGGTGATGGTGATGATGCTGATCATGATGATGTGGAGGAGGACGAGGATGGTTGTGATGATGATGGTGCTTTTGATGATGATGATGATTATGTGGAAGCCAGGAAGGACGATGATCAGGAGGCTGGTGATGATGATGGCTTCGATGATGACGACGATGATGATGACGGTGGTGATGATGATCATTCTGATTGTCTTGATGAGGAGACGGAAGTGGGTGATGGTGATGATGGTAATGCTGATGTTGGCGATGATGCTGATTGTGGTGATTGTGACGAAGATGATGCTGCTGATGATGAAGAGGCGGAAGACAATGATCATGCTGCTCGCGATGATGAAAGTGGTGATGAGGATGAGGATGATGATTTTGGTGATGATCGTGAGTGTGATGATGATGATGATGATGGTGACTATGAAACTGATGATGATGTTTGTGATGACGGTGACGTTCAGATGCTTCTGATGATGTTGAGGCGGCGGAGGACAATGATCATGATGCCTGCGATGATGATGGTGATGATGATTCGGAGGAGGAAGTGGACGAGGAGGAGTATGATAAAGATGATCATTGTGATGTTGCTGATCGTGATGGGGATGATGGTGATGTTGGTGATGGTGTGCATCATGATGATTGCGATTTTGATGTCGATGATGATGATGTGAGTGACGTTGATGATGATGAAGACGACGATGATGTTGATGTTAACGGTGAAAATCATGATGTTGATGTTGATTGTGCTGATGGTGATGATGTTGATGATGCTGATCATGCTGATGACTCATGATGGTAATTGCGATGATGATGATGATGATGATGATGATGATGATGATGATGATGGGGATGCCGAAGATGATGATGATGATGATGATGATGATGATGATGATGATGTTGGTGATGATGACGCTGATGATAATGCTGATGATGGTGGTGGTGGTGATGATGATCATGGTGATGACTGTGATGATGACGTTGCTGATGTTGATGGTGATGCTGATGCTGATGAGGATGGTGATGCTGATGATGGTGGTGAATATGGCGTTGATGATGCTGATGATGGTAATGATGATTGTGATGATGAAAATGGTGATGATGGTGGTGGTGTGATGATGATGATGGGGATGATGATTCTGATGGTGATGATGCTGATGATGAGATTGCATGATGGTAATGGTGACGGATATGATGGTGATGTTGAAGGTTATGGTAATGATGGTGGATATGATGATGCTGGTGATGACGATGGATATGACGGTGATGGTGATCATGATGTTGTTGATGATGACGATGGTGATCATGATG